TACAACGTGATGGCAGAGGCCATGCATGGGAGTTGCAGTTTGTCTTTCCATCGACCAAACGGACTGCTTGGAGAACACAGAGGTGTTGACGCAGGGGGTCGAAAGGGGCGAGGAAGCGACGACGAGTCCAGAGGGACTTAGCTACCCAAAATCAAGCAATCAATTAGAATGGAGGTGGACTCGGAGGAGTGTCACGGAGGCATATCTACTGATTGTGAAGAAAAGGGTTGTAGATGCGAGGCGACGGATAGTAGTGCCATGGGCATGGCAGCGCCATGGTACCGCAGAGGCGGGACTTCCGTGAAAGTCATTGATCCCTTGCTCTCATGGAGGGAGAGTACTTGGTCGTGAAAGGGGCCGAGGAGGTGGAGCATGCAGAGGCAATCTCCAAGTACCGAGACAAGGCTAAAGGGCAGAGGCCGAGGAACTTCGTAAGACCGATGTCAATGAGCTTCTCATCAAGATAGCCGAAAGTGAAGGAGTTCGGGTCATGCAAGAGTGCATAACCAAGGAACGAAGCAGGCAGTACGCGGTGCTGTACCTTTGCTACTCAGTGCAGTAGGCGGTAGGGTTGATGGAGAAGACGGTACAATCCCAGAGGCGACCAAACCTACGAGAGAATTACTCCAAGTTGGGGTGAAAACTTCCTGCATTCCAGAAGTTCGATGACATTGAGAAGATGAATCACAGTAACTAACTCAACGCAAGGAGTGCAAACACTTCAAGTGCTTCAGAAGTGTGAGCAAAGAGCAGGCGAAGGTCAGTAACCAGCTCGATGCATGGAGTACAACCTCGAGGAGGCGGGCGAAGTCAAGTAACCTTTGCCTTCTCAACTCTTAAGAGAATGGGTGAAACTGAGTACCCCAATTCTCTTATCTATCCAGCAAATGAGCTCTACACAAGTTCAAAGACCCTTCGAAGATAATGGAAGACAATAGTTGTCAAATCCTCACCAACGGTGATCAGTGCTACTGAGAGTAGATTGTCCGTTTCATTTCCTAACGAAATGCCAATCGAAAGCGGAAGTGATGCGAACCTACTTGGATGTGACAACTAAGTGAAAGAAGAGTCAATGAGCAAATTTTGTGGAGGAAGGACCCAAAACTTCAGAAGTTTGCGAGACGATGCTCGTTAAAGCTCCAACAAGCATCCACCCAGTTCAAGCAGCATGAGGAATTTGAGAGACTAGCGCAGTAAGGATGGTCTTTTCCTTCATCAAGGAGATCCACAGGAATCAACAAGGATCAACACAACTCAGCCAACCCCACACCAGAGTCAGAGTCATTGGTGAGTTGAAGCAGCATGGCGGATCAAAGGTTCGACTACTCAAAAGCAGCAGCGGAGAGCAGCTAGGAGCCAAGAGGCGCATTGTAGCTGGAGCAGAAGATTGAAGACTCAGCAAAGGCGAGGAGTTGCAGTGTCGACAAAGGCTTCAACGAGGACGTCGAAGGCATAAGTGAGGGAGAATGTCACGGACAAACTTTTAAACAAGGTGTTTAATGTAATGCTTATGTATGTCCGTGTTTTTTGGCATGTTCATGCCATGTACAGCATGTAGAGGGGCGGCCGAAGGCTCAACAATCCTATTTTAGTTGGATTGGTGGCCTCTTTAGGCTTGTAAATAAAGGTTGTGTCATGTGGACACGTGCGAGAGATTCTCGATCTGTAATGGATCATTTTACCCTTTGTTGTGCAACTATTCAGAACTGGTAAAGTCTGTTTGTAATTTGCATTGTCTATGAAGTGTTTTTCGGAGATGTTTGTTTATGGATCCCGATTGAGGCGTTCTCTCTAACCCGTTCTCTCTTTTGTTAGTCCTAAGGGACAATGGGAGGTTTCGGGGAGGCTGACCTTTGCGGACGGACACGCAAGGGTGCCGCACGACTTAGGCAAAACCAGCTAAGTCCGTGATAGCTCGGTAGAGGGCGGTCCGCGTACCGGTATGCTGTCGGACAGGTATGTACCGCCCGTACCGAGCAGTATCATTCGGTATTGCCTACCTTGTAAACCAGTGATCGAAAAATTTGTTCTATGGTAATTTCCCAAATCTCAACTATTCATGTGCAAAATTGACTAGGTTTGCTATTATATATCTGCAAAAGGACTTGTATATATGGATGTATTCTAAGCATCTTAGTATGGATTTATATAATTTTCTAAGCATGGTTATAATCAAAGTCTTGAGGCATAGTGCTGCCGGTCACTAATGTCTTCTGCAGCCTAGACAGAAAGCACCAAGCAAGGCACATGCTTTATTGAAATAATTTATCAAATTTGAATTATCATATGTCTATTTTGGTAACTAAATACACCCCGATTGAGATCTAACCAGTTAAGAAAAGTTTGGCTAATTAACTCAAAAGGATAAAGTGCCATGTCAGTTGCACCATGTGGCATCAATAGAATAAAGAGAGAGAGAGAGAATATGACAAAGAAGATGAAATCAACAAACCAAAGAAGAGCATCAAAAAGCAATTGTTCACTATCAGTTTCCTTTTCAGTAAAATTAAAACCTCTCTATAGGTCTGCTTCTTTCCCTTGCTAAAGAAAGAAAAATTTATACCTTTTGAAAGCAAATCCAATATTGTTTCTAGCATGGTATGCAATTTCAAATGGTACCGCCCGGTACAGGCGGTACGTACCGGTCCGACGGTATATCGGTACGCGGACCGCCCGTTATTGGATGGACTGTGCTATAGTGCTACAGTAATACACTGTAGCAGTGCTACAGTAAAAGAAAATCACTCGATAAGCCTTAGTGTACCGTTCGGTACGTCCTGATGTACCGCTCGATACGTCGATATCGTACCGTACTAAGCCAACCTCGAAACATCGGTACGGTACGGTATTGCATACCTTAGTTTCTAGTATCACATTAGAAGTTAGTAATGAGGACAAGATAATAAAATCAGGCAATGTCTTTCAGGATGAGGGTTCTTATGAAAAGCTCTTAAGGCACACATGTAACTTGCATAATAATGGAGTCTATTGACCAATAAATAGGAGGTCACACATAAATAGGCAACAATCAGCACCTGGTGGCTCCATTCTGACGACTTATAGTAACTAACAACTTATGGCATTTAACAATTCAAAATTTTCAAATAAATGTCAACATGTTAGAATAATAACATTGGTAAAATGACACAAAATTTCATAGTCTTGTAAAAAATGATAATATCAAGCAAGCATCCATATTCATATGTTTAATATTCCAGGTTTCATATGTTTAATATTCCAGGCTTCCGATTCCATATGACCTAAGCAATATCAGTGCTAAACATCTGGAAGATTTTGATAAGAAACTTCAAATTAGTGGTACAAAAGTTCCATAGCAAAACAAATATAGATTTACCAGTTCGGCCTTAACATTTTTTATTTCTTTTCTTGCAAGATCAACATCACTTGCTTGACCTTGAAATCTTGCAATTGGCTGTAGATAGAAGCATAATTTTAGTCTAGTACACAATCATAGTTGTAATTAACAAGAAAAACAAAAGTAAATAATGCAACAAGCCATGGTCAAATAGGCAAATATATAATGAGAAAGCAAGTTATATCATGATTCCATTCAGAATGCAGTAAAAAATAATTACAGATAATTGAATGTACCTGCTTTATCATTATTGTCGATGACGACGGTAGAGCAGCACGGTTTCCTTTAGAACCAGCAGCCAAAAGTAGTGCAGCTTCTCCCCAGCCATTGCCAACACATAGCGTAAAAATTGGTGATTTGACAGAACTATACTTTGGAGTGAAGAAATGCAATTGAATTAGTTTCAGCATGCTATAGTTAATATATCATGCCTGGTTTATGGAATTTCCTTAACCCCATACTGATAAAAAAAGGACTGAATAATGATTGTAAATTATAAAATTTCAAAATAAACAAGTAGAGGCAAATAATAACATATTTCAGAATTTCATGGCATATCCGAGCATTAGATTGTTACTTGCTTTCATGGAACCATGGAGCCCAAAACCTAAATCTAAAAGAATAAGAAAAAACTAAACTTTAAATCAAGATATTAAAAACCAGGTATACCAGTCAATACAGAAAAATACCAGCTGGTACATACTGGTCCAGGCAAAATTAGGTATCACCTTTCATAAAGCATTAAGCCATATCTTCCTCCATCAAAGTATGTGTGAGCAACCTTTTAAATCTTGGCTAACATGGTATTTTATCAAAAGAAATAATGAGCAGACCAGAATAACATAAATATAAAAGCCATGACAGTTCAAATAACATGAGTGCAGGAATTAACCACATGACATCATAAATTGCAAAAGCCTCTGTCTCATAACTCAATTTCTCTCCACCCTAGAAGAATGTACATGAGAGTGTGATAGGGTAAGGTTTAGGAAACTTGATATCTTCACATGCAATAAAAAGAATCGAATAAGACTGATATATGATACAGGAACAAATGGACCAAAATATATAACGTAGGAAAAAGCAAAGTCTTGAAAGTATTTCCAAAACAGTATAAGTTACAATTTTTATTTATGTTTTCTAGAAAAACCAGAATAGTGTATTGTCCAGGTCTTGTATTGTTTAAAAGTTCATGAGAATTACTTTTAGCAAAATGAATAAGATTTGAAGGGAGACATACAGCTATTATGAGTGGCATAAAGGAGAAACTTGCTCAAGTTAAAAACCAATTAGAATACCCAACCTTGCATAGACCCAAGAAAAGGGTTCATCTCACTGTGTACTGCTATCTAAGGTTCATAATTTTGTATCGTACCGGAGTATCAAGCTCAGCTCGGTACGGTATGATACGGTATGAGTATACCGAGCAGTACACTATGGCATATCATTCGGTGTGTGTGCATATATATGTATATATATATATATATATAATAAAAAAGTTAAAAAATAAAAAAAGGGCGACGTCGTCGAGGTTTCTTCTCCCCACGCCGAGGCTTCTTCTCCCCACGCGAATTAGGAGAAGTCACCGACGACGTCGAGGTCTCCCCATGAAGCCTCAGTGACGTCGCCGAGGTTTCTTCTCCCCACACCGAGGTTTCTTCTCCCCGCACGAATTAGGAGAAGTCACCTACGACGCTGAAGCCTCGTCACCTCAGACGAGGAGGAGGCGACATCTCATCTGCGGTGTCCGACGAAGGAGGGCAGCGACAAATCAAGATCGTCGAGGGAGAGCGGCACCAGATCTCCAAGTTCTCCCTTTTCTTCTCCCTCTTCTTCTCCCCCTTCTTCCTTCTCCCTTGGCTAATATCGCCCGGTAGCGGGCGACGATGGTTGAAATTGACCATCACCAATCAATGGTACCGCCCAGTAGCGAGCGGTCCGTGTACCGTCAGAATCAACTAAAATATTACCACTGCATTGACCCAACACCACCATTGTCTTACTTGGTCTGTTAATTGATCTGAGGGTCTCAGGGCAGTGACTTAATTAGGAATGCTAATCTTATTATGTAAGCAGCTATGGCTAAACTCATACACTTAATAGGAAGCTTTGACCTCCGCCACAACTCAAACTAAATCTTGCTCAGTAAAGAGCTGCTTAAGATATATTCAGACTAAATGATAGAGTAATCCAGCCATCCAAATTAGATAGTTCAACCATTTCCAAGGTAGACTACAAAAACACATCAAGAAGTCTTGGTATGTATGGAGATTCATGAAGATTAAAAAAAAAGTAATAAGCCCAATCTAGTCATAAAGGCACTCAGCAGTCCTATCTGAAGTAGAAAACAGGACGGACTAAGAGCCCATCTCAAATGTCCAAAGACACTTTCACTTGTAGGAAACTCTGACCAACCAAATCAAATGAGTCTAGTTAGGATAAAAAAAATTATGCATAGACATCAACTCCACAAACCCAAGTCTGGCAAAGAAGAAATGAAACATGATATGACATCCAACTTACACAGTTTGACATGACCAAATTGGCAAGTCGAGTTAAAAAACGGTAACTCTCATAATATTGCAAAGTAGCATCACAATTTTATTAACTTCAGAGAACTTCAGTGGCAACTACTGCACTATAATCATTGTCCAAACTTCAACAACCTTTTTTGAGCCTTGGGCTCATTTCATAGATGCAAACTCATACAACAACTGTTTTAAGCAGTCACAAAGAAGATTACAGAGGCATTATTGCTCTATTGAGTAGAGAAGAATAAAAGAACTCTAAATGATATCTTATTGGTCCATTGAATGTCAATGCATTCTGATGCTACAATGATGATAGGAAAATTGATAAATACTTTATGTTATTGCTGTTATAAGAGTCACATAGCTGAGGATTTTTAAATTCACAGTTCACCAGCATATATGTGGTTAAAACAGTTACCTGTGGCGTCCATATGTGAGCTCAAAACAATGAAGATTCACAAGCCACAACTTTGGAGTACATCAAACTATCAAAGTAATCTATGTCACTCGATTATAATAATTGAACGGCATATATATTAGGCAATGTATTACATAAACATTTTCCCGATATTTCATCTAATATTCATTCTACTAGATACCAAGTTTGACAAACTAAGATATTAAAATATGAAGAATGTTGTTACCCATATCTTAAAAAAAGGGGTAAATGAGTCCGATAACTCGAGAAGGGATATATACTAGCCTTTGTCGTGCCAGTGGAATTTATGTATAGGTAAATTGGCTTCTCTACATCTTCATATTGAAGATAAAGAAATTCTGCTAGCATCAGCTCAGTCACCTATGGAACAAGAGACATGCCCAAGTATATACAATTCGATTTTTATACAAGTAAGAAGCGAGATCTGGAGGTGGCTGCTCCCATGCATTTCCTCTCAAGAAAGGGATAACCTGTAAAGAAGTTAAAAATATATATATATATATATATTCAAAATTTAAAATAATACCTCAGAAATGCTCTTTTTTGGCAGATATTTGTCATCAAATGGCAAAAAATAAACTAATACTAAATCTGAAAATTATAGAACTGAAAAGATGTGAAAATGCAACAACAATCTATCATCTGTATAACTATAAAAAATAAGACATTGATTGTAAAAGGGTGATCCGATGTATGAGGCTCTGGCCAAGACGAGGTGTCAAAAAGTTGAATGTGTGCATCCTTTTGTACAAAAGCCAAAAGGCAGTTTTTGTGACCTGATATGTGGTTGTTCAGAACACAAAAAGCACAACCTTATCATGGTGTCAAGCAAGGAACTCAATTTGGGTACTGGACCTGTGCCAATCCATGGCTGGACCAACACAGATCTGGTCAGTGGTGCCGTATATAAGAGGAGAAGGAGAAGGAAACAAAGAGGAAGGGGAGAAGGAGAGGAGGAGGAGGAAGGGGAGAAGGAGAGGAGGAGGAAGAGGTGGTGGAAATGAGGAGATGGAGGAGAAGGCAATGAGAGACAAGCATTCCTGCAGTGCAGATCAGGAGAGTTCACAACTAGCATGCATGCACTAACCCTAATAGTGTTCCATGTTTAAAAATATAAATAATGAATCAGTTCATACCCGGACCAGTAAATACCAGCCAATATGTACCAATCAAGGCAGTTTTGCATGCTTGGTGTCAAGGTTCACCATCTTAATAACACTCTAGTTTTATAAAAATAAGAATTTTATCCAACCCCGCAGCCATCCTAGTTGGACCATACATTATCAAGCCCTAGCATAAGTCCACTATGCTTAATCACTACGTGACAAATCATAAGCCCTAGCCTTTTACAACCAGAAAGTTTAGGTGACAAATTCCAATACTAAAAGGGCTTTAAGAGTAGCCAAATAATTTCTAAATATGTATGCTTACACCAATGTAGAGCACAAAGCGCATACCATGGCATTGATCAAGTGGCTATAAACAATGGACCAAAAGAAAAACAATTGAAAGTGACGATGATCAAAGTTCAGCTAAATTAGCACTTATAGCGTATTACTTGAGAGGTGTTAATTCATGTTATCTGTCAGATAAATACCCCATAAACATAAATAAACTCTGCAAGAAGACAATAAAACCCACCTCTTGTATGTCCAAAATACTCGATCAACCAAAAGCATCTAAACGTAATATATGCTGTCACATATAACAACTTTGAAATCTTTGAAATGAATGTCTAGAAGCCACAAGTGCACGAACAATGCCAAGAATGAGATTTTGAGCACACAGAAGCTAAGAAATGAATAAGATGATATGCATATTAGCAAACAGGGTATGAGAAGTCTCCCTTAAAGAATATGATTGAACCTTTTCTCAAGCTTTTACAAAAGGATATACTTAACTGATATACGTTGAAGTTGTCAGAAAGGCTGAAAGGAAAGTTTGCAACTTCCATTATTATGGGAAAGAATAGTGGAGTGCCCAAAAATTTGTATCAAGTAGGTGTTGATAGCTGAAATGCAGTGAGATCTACTTGGCAATGACCAAACGATCCTTCCAAAGCAGAAACTAATAAAGAGTTTAGACCCTGAATGAATTTTAGTACTCTAATTTAAATTTCTATATTTGTATGTGTACATGCTTTCAAGTCTGCTAGATGTAAGAATGGAAAACATGGAACTGGATAGACTTAAATAGAGACATGTAAAATCATAAAATACAAGTGTCATGCTTCATTTAAGTGGCCAATGATTGTTCCCCTGGTTTCAAATTCAATGCATTGCAATCGTACCAAGTCAGAATGTTATCCTTTCCATTTTGGCTTGCTGACAACATAACCAAAAACTAATATTATAACTATATTTTATGAAGTAGCAAGTAGGAGAAAAGGACGGAAGTACGGGGGCCTTCATTTTCTACCATGCAGTACAAAGAAAATTCTCCTATAAAATATAGGATTTAAAATTTTCATTGAACAGCCTAAAATTTCTCTCTCAGCGCAGCAATCTTAAAGAAAAAAAAGTTTCGAGTAATTCATATCCCCATTATGTAGTGTGTCTTAAAGAAAAATATATATTCATAAGCTATACTGATGGGTTGAAAGACCGCGCCTTCACTTTGATAGAAGATAAGATTTCCCAAACGATATGAGGAAATCTCTTTATTCTGTTGAGAAAAATCCTCCATTCTGTTGAGAAATCCTTCCTCCTAATCTGTATAAATAGGAGAGGGACATGTTAATGTATTTAAGTTTTTTCATTTCTTCAATAAAGCTCGCTTATTCAATAATTGTTCTTATCTTCTATTATTTTCATCATGGTATCAGAGCAGTGAGAAAAGCGAAGCTTCGCTCTTGCCTTCGGCCAGCAACCAACGCCGCTGAGAAAAGCGAAGCTTCGCTCTTGCCTTCGGCCAGCGACCAACGCCGCTGAGAAAAGCAAAGCTTCGCCCTTGCCTTCGGCCAGCGACCAACGCCGCTGCAGCCAAATTCCTAAGAGGCTCCATGGCCAATCCTCACCTTCCTCACCACGATAGTCTTCGTTGATCTGTCAACAGTCGACGAACTTAAGGAGAACGAAAGGTGGACTTAAGGAGAACGAAAGGAACGCCTGTGCCCTCACAACAACAACAATCGTAGTAGCAGCAACAATCTGCTCTTGCTCTACTCACGACTCTCGCTCGTGAATTATTCTTTGCATCGATCCAAGATTGGTATCTTGACAGAAGCAATATCTTACGGGGGCATGATATAAGATAAGATTTCCCCCACTATATGAGGAAATTTATCTATTCTGTTGAGAAAAATCCTCCATTCTGTTGAGGGAAATCCTTTCTCCTAATCTATATTAATGAAAATAATAGAAAATAAAAATAATTATTGAAGAAACT